TTTCGTGTCCACATCGCAAAACCGAGAGAAACTGATTTTATTGCTATAAAATTTGATCAAATTATTATTTTTTTGGATTGGACTTTAAATAATCTTTCCAACCATATATCATAAGCCCAATTCCAAGATATAACGAAAAAGATATAAGCAAAACACTAAACTCGGCCTAAAACCGACACCCTTCCACCAAAACGGCCATATCTTAAAATCTAAAAGTAATTTTGACCTGATTCTAATTGGGTTGGAAAGTAGACTTTATAAAATTTCCAGTGATATATTATATGTATTATTCCAAGTTACGGATCAAAAGTTATGATTATTTTTAAAAACTGGTAAAAAACTGAAATTACCGCGTAGCAGCTAAAAACGCCGCGACGCGAAAAATGCTGACGTGTCACGGGATTTTGCACCATGTCACGGGATTTTTCATCGTTTCACGGTGCAATTTCCCGTGTCACGGTGTCCATTCCGTGACACGGGGATATTCCGTGTAATTTCCACGTACTTTTTACACCGTGACACGGTATACTCCACTGTGCCACGGTGGACAATGTCGTGTCACGACATTTCTTCCCATGTCACGATGCACATCCCGTGATATGGGATTGCTCCGTGTTTTCTCCGCGTAATCCCTAAACGCGTTTTCACTTCCCATAACCTTATTATTTCCCGCGTCACTCAGTTTTCCCCCCGTGTCACGGGATCTTCCCCCGTCCGACGGTGCCTTGCACCGTGTCACGGTGCTCTTTTCCATGACACGGTGATATTTTTTAAGGTTTTTATCTTTTTAGGGTTCCGCATGTTCCTTCTGCTCATTTTCCCTATAAATAGGACCCCCTTCTGCAGTTCGGGGCATCAAATCCTTTTCACTTTCTCTCTTTTACACCAAAAATCATTCTTCTCTCTCTCTCTCTCATATTCTAAGCCTTAAACCTATATTCCTAATTACATCATTCTTCCCCTAAGTACTCCAAGGAGTCCATAATTAACCCGAGGATCCGTCCTTATATCAAGGTGTGAAAGGTACAAATAACTGAGGGTTTGGACCAAATTAACTCTACTTTTTATTTAATTTAATTTAATTTTCATTTGCTTTATATTTTTTTATTGAAGTTACTAGCAATTTATTCATGATGTAGCAATTTAAAGGAACGCACGGTTTGTGAGTAAATAATTAATTTAATTACTCTTATTTTATTTTAATATTGCTAGTATCATGATTAGGTTATTTTATATTTGATTTGACTAACGCTATTATTGTTAAATTGTTTCCAATATTAATGTTTACTCTATTATTTTTATGATCGCCATATTGCATGTTTAAAGGGAATATGTAATTGAAAATCACGTCTAATAAGATAATTTGGACAACCGGTTTAGGTTCCCTTTTAATCTTGTTGTTTAATCAAGTGATCACTAATTCTATAGAATTATATGGTGCATTAATATTCAACCAATTTAGTTTAATAATAGTTTGGAGCAAATTGAATCTCTGTTTGTATGCCTTTAAGATCGCACGAATCACTTTTCACCATAAGAATTGAGTACAAACCAATACGGGCGAATGTAACTCCATGACTCACTTCGTACCATCATCCCCGATCCTCCTTTCGTGGTTCCGAACCATATGGAGTTAGTAATCTCATGGATTATGAATGGGGTGTAACCTTCAAGGGTCAATCGTTGTTGCCTATCGTTGTCCCTTTATTCGTGGTTGCCTTTTATGATCCGTGAACGGTTTACAAGTTCCTTAAAACTTGTTGGGGGCTCCCTACTTTCCTTGTCCATAATCGTAATGTCAATTCCCACTTCCTATGAGTGCCAAGCATATTCACACATGCTTTAACGTAGGCGCATTTCGAACGACGCCTACACATAATAATCATGTTAAAGCATTATAATAGCAAGATCCTAGGCATGATACTAACAAGATTAATAACAAACCCTAGCATGTCACTAAACATCAAAGATCAAATATATAGCTCTAACATGATACTAACATGATATTAGGAAAGAAAATAGGAAGCATCACAGGAATCATAATTGATATAAGCAAATCACCCTAAATATAATACTAAGAAAATCATCCTAACATGATATTAGGAATCAAAATAACATCCTGTAGACACCTAAAAATGTCTCCCCAAAACAAAACCCGATGATGAACAACCTTTCATCGCCACTATTGGTCGGGTTCAGTATTTAATCCCGAGAGTGCTTAAAAAATCGTATTTAATTAAATTCGTATTTTTGAATGGATTAGTCTTGATGTTTGGTAAAAGTATAGTTTTAATTTCAGCCCAAACTTATTATTTAATTTTAGCCCAAACCTTTTTTTTTAATTTATTGTTTTATTATTTATTTTTGGCCCAAACCTTTTATTTATTTTATTTACTTATTTTCTTATTTAAGCCCAAATAACAATAAATTAGAAAAAGGCCCAAAATTATCAATCGACACTTAAAATGCTGAACGAAATTAGGGTTAAAAATGAATTTAAACGGAAAAGCGGACAGAAAATTCCCGCGCCACGGCAGCTATCCACCGTGTCACGGGAAACTTTCCCATCTGGCGATGGGATTTCCCGTGACACGGGAAACCTGCTGTGACACGGGAATTTCTGTGTCCTTTCCGCGTAAACCTTTAACGCGTTTTCTCCCCCGTTTACTAAATATTTCCCGCGTCACACAAAATTTGCACCGTGTCACGAGAATGTTTCCCGTCTAACGGTGGGATTTCCCGTGTCGCGGGATACTTTTTTAGGATTTTTATCATTTTAGGGTTCCGTGTGTTCCCTCATCACATTTTTTCTATAAATACCCCCTCATTTCTGATGTACGGGGCATGAATTAATTCTCTATTTTTCTCTCTTTCCTTGGAGCATGCCTGTCAACAGTGGTTCTACTCTTTGGAATCAAAACATGTCGTGACCTGGGAGGATGTTGCTGAAAGCTTTATGAATCGTTACAAGTGTAACATTCAAGCCAAGACTTCTGAATGTGAACTCTCCATTCTCAAACAAAAAGAGAATGAAGGCTTCACCACTTACTTAAGCAGGTGGAGGGAAACAGCCGCGCTCTTGGTGGATCCCCCCAAGGAAAAAGAGATGGTTCACTTGTTCATTGCCAATCTGACTCATAAGTACAAGCAACACTTGAAGTTTCTGCCTCTAAGTACCTTTGAAGTTGTATACGATATTGGGATCAATATTGAGGATGAACTGATGAAGAATGCTGGTAGCAACAATAATAACAGCACTTGGAAAAATAAGAAGAACGACACTCCTTCTTCTTCGTCTTCGAAGCCCAATAATGCTACTAACAATATCAATATCAATGATGTGCTGGCCCTTAATGCTCCTCCTCAAATATTCCAAAGGCAAAGGAGGGTTTACACGCCTTTGGGAATGACTTATGATGCTGCTTTTGACCGTTTGCATGGTCAAGGACTGATTATGCCAATTGGACCATTTCCAGAACCTCGACCAGAGAATAGGACTGCTAGCTACGACCCCAATGCTTATTGCAAGTTTCATCAAGGAAAGGGTCATAATACAGAGAAGTGTTGGAGGTTGAAGGATGCGATCCAAGACCTAATTGATGCTAATCATCTTCCTGTCCCTCTATGGGGCAAGAAGCCTAACATTCAAACAGGTCCTCTTTCCGATGCTTTGGCTATCATGGGAGATGAAGTCTCCTATGATCCGTCAATACTCATTCAACCTGAGAATGAACCTCTGCCAGAAGTTGTATTTGTCTCGAGTTATGAAGAAGTGAATGGAATTGGGATAGTGATGATGAAGACGTCTATCTCAAGGATATAGCCTATTCATCTCTTGGCACAAGTGAAGATGTTTGGGGAGACCGTGAGGTCAAGGTTCTCACTAGAAGTGGACGGTTGCAACAACCTAGTCCACCTCCACCTCCACCGCAATCACATCTGATAGTTGATCCCATCGACCCTGTGAACAACGATGTGGTCAAACAATTACAAAAGACCAAGGTGGAGATGAATGTATGGAAGCTTTTGGCCACCTCTCACGAGCATCGAAAGGCTGTGATGAATGCTCTGGTGAAAATAAGAGTTGATGATGATATGACTCCTTAAGGACTGATCAACTTTCTCACTACTGAATTGCCAAGTACTAGCAATCTGATTTCGTTTTCTGACAAGGATCTGCCCCCGGAAGGGGATCAACATAATAAGGCCTTACACCTCACTGTGGTGTGTAGGCAGATGAATGTTCCTATGAGCCTGGTTGATAATGGCTCTGCAATCAATGTATGCCCACTCCGCACTGCAAAGAAGTTGGGCATAAAGAATGAAGAACTGACTCCCTCAACTCAAGGGATTCGCGCTTATGATAATACTCGCCGTCAACCCGTGGGTACCATCACGCTAAACATAACTACTGGGGCCATTGAACGTCGCACCAAGTTTCAGGTGGTAGACATTAAGGCCTCTTTCAATCTGTTGTTAGGACGCCCTTGGCTTCATGAGCTAAAGGCAATTCCATCATCGTTGCACCAGAAGGTGAAAGCCATAGTTGGAGGGGTTCCAATTACCATTGATGCTTCCCCCATGCGCATTCAAGTTATCGACACTCCTATCGTCCATGTCAAACATGATGAATAAGACGAAGATCTTTGCGGGTTTCCACTCGATGATGTTCTCATGATCGAAGAAGAGAAGAAGTGTCATCTCGACTTCGATCCCTATTCAAACACCAACATTAATGCCATTATGAAGAAGCAAGGGCATTTCCTTTGAATGACCCTCGGGCTCAAAAAGAAAATGGCTGAACTTTGGGGCCATCCTGGTGCACTCAAGAAGGATACTTTTGGCTTGGGATTCAAGCCAACAAAAGAAGATGTGAGACAAGCCTTCTTGAAAATGAAGGCTCGCAATAATGCTCGAATCATGAAAACGGAAATGACCATGGATCCATATCCATTCACTCTCAATGGCCAGTACATCAAAGAAGAGGAAGACTTCCCATGCTATGAATTCCCTGAGCCTTTCGTCCACGATGGGAAGCGTGAACCAGGGTTCAAGATGTTTCTTGATTGTGACTTTGTCGATGAAGGCGAAGAGCTCTTCACAACTGAGAAACCAGATAGCCCAAGCTCTGATGATCTAGGCATTAACCTTCTTTTTGGAATGGAGAAGAATGAATCTAAGCCTGTCTGCAATGATAATTCCAAGCTCATTCAAGCTGTTATAGCAAACAAAGATTTTGACCCCTCCGAGTTAATCGTCCAAGCTGATAATATTTCAAAGGGATGGCGCAAGACATTGAGGATCATTACGCCAAGCAGAGAAAAGTTGGAAATAACCTCTGGCTAAGGTCCCATGTTCCATGAGTCTGAGTCGTCTGGGTCCGAGTCCGAGTCTGAGTCTGTAGACTAGTCCTTAGAGTCTGAAGCCGACCCTCTGACAAGGGAATAAACGCGTCGTCAATTGTCTATCGCTAGATCAAATACAATTTATACAACCTAAACAAACCTAATACGAGTATAAGGCAAGCATAGGGGTTGAACCACAGAGAACGGATAAACACCACCAAATGTTATCGACAATTAAGCTAGTCCGGCATAGGAGATAAATAAACTAAAGTCTAAAGATGCTAAAACAAGAACTAAAACATTAAGGCACCAAGGGAAATGGGTAGGTGAAGTTGACGCTTGACCATACAATAACAAAGTAGCATATCAATGGTAAACTAAACATGCATGAATATCGAAGTAAAGGGTCCAATCTAGCCGCCTTCCGGGGTCAATTGGCTTCTCCTAACATAGCCTCTATGTTTCCACATTAGAACCATATACTAGGAGGTACTATTAAATAACAATCGATAATAATGAATCTCAACTAAGTCAACTTCCGTACTTGTTAGTAAAGACTCATCTTTGATCAACTAACAACGTGCACTTGCAAGAAAGACCAAAGAATATCAAGCATGCAAAGACTTTAATCACCATTAACATAACCCCAACATTAAAAGCATGAAAAATTAGCAACTACACCATCCCCACACCCTTGGCTAGGTGACTACTCACAAATCATGTTGAAAACAATATCAATCATCAAATCAATAAGCACCAACATGATTAATAAGCAAATGAGCAAAATCAAAAACAAAGGTAAAGAGAAAGAGTAAGAGATTGCTCATTAATTGAAGATGAAGATCTACAAAGGATTGAACAAGCTCCTTCTTCAAAATCCAAGTTCATTAATGAAGAAAACCACAATTTCTCTCTCTACCAATGAAGACTAATCCTAACCTAACCTAAAACTAATTAAAGAGTAAAATAGATAGTTATTGAATTTATCCTAATTACCCCAAAATTGGGTATTTATACTAAGCTAGCCAAAGTAAGAAAAATAAAAGATGGAAAATAAAATAAAGAAAAGGAAAAGTAAAAAAATCAGAAAATAAAATAAAAAAAAAAATAAAAGAAAGGAAATAAGAAAAAGGAAAAGAAAAAGAAAATAAAAAAATAATAAACCCACGGATCCCCACCAAAAACAATCAGACCCTATTTCCCCTTCTTCTTCGAAATTGGCTGCTTCAATATCAACACCACCGTTCATCAATAATCATCATTGAATCACCACCATCGATCATAATCAATGCTCCAAATCAATGGCTATCAACACCAATTGCATCATCATCGTCATTATTAGACCGGTTGGTCTTCATTAATAACCACGTGTGAAGCTCGTGGAGTGGTTCGATCGAACCGATGGTTGGTTCGACCGAACTACGGGGTTGGTTCGGTCGAACCATGGGTGTGTTCGACCACTTTTCTTCGAATAACAAAACCCCCAAAGTCTCTTACTCGACGTTCGGCCGAACACTCATTGGTATGCTCGAACTTGATTAATTTTCATTTGCTCTGATTTGTGATGCAATGGTGGGCGATTTGTTGCTGTAGTTGGAGAAGTGGAGGAGATGCGGCAGGGGGCGGTGCGCGGTGGCCGGAATTTGCGCGGCTGCTGCTGTAATTGAAGGTTGGACTGGTGGCATGGCTGGTTGGAGTTGCGGGTGCAGGTGAACGGTGGTGCAGGGGTTGATTGGAGATGGACGTAATTGCTGTTGTGCTCTGGTTGTTGACGGTGGTGTTGGTGAGGGGCTGCTGTGGTGATTTTGGTTTGGTTTGAGTGGCTGCAGTGTGATGTGGTGGTGCGGCTGCTTGTGTGTGTGGTGTTTGCGGGATGGCTGTAAATTAGCCAAGGTTGGACTGGTGGTGAGTGGTGTTGTTGTTGGCGACTGGAAGTGAAGGAGAGGGAGCAGGGGAATGATTGGTTTTGGGAATGGTGGGCTGCTGTGTGCGTGAGGGAGCAGGGGAGATGGAGGTGTTGTTGTGGTGGAGGATAAGGGGGTGTGGTGATGGTTAAGATTGGGCAGCAGCTTTGGGGCTAGAAAGCTTCTTGGATTGACACCTTTGACCCGAGCCTCCGACCTCCGAGCACGATCCTACACAAACAAATAAAAATAAGGGAGAATCGGGACAAAGATAAAATAAAATAAAATGAAAATAAACAAAGGACGAAATAAAACAAAACCACGACAAATAGAATAAAATAAATAAAATAAAAATAAATAAAATGAAATAGAAAATAAGAGACATAAAACTAAACTAATAAAAAAAATAAAACAAAAACTATACAAGCAAATAAAGTAAAAATAAAATAAGAAAATAAACTAAAACTAATAAAATAAAGAAAATAAACTAAAACGCTCCAAAATTACCAAATAAACAAGAAACTTTATTAAAGAGAAAACAAGAGAATAAAAGGAAAATAAGGGAAAATAAACACGGAAAAGACTCTAAAACTACTCCTTAGGAGTGACATAAATGTCACTCATCACTCTCTTTCTGTTATAGAGTCCAATCCTGAGTCTCTTGTTGAGTCTTCTCTTTCCGGTGAGGTCGCAGCTGACCTTGGCCCTCTTGATGTATTCACTAATGAATTCAATAAAATGAGTACCTTTGCTTACGATGTGTGTCATCCCCCTAACCCTGATCAATATTGCTTTGCTAATGATAAAAATGACAAAGAAATAATAAAAGCAATGGAAGAACATGAAAATAAAACGACAGTTATCGAGGATACATAAACAGTTAATATTTCCAATGATACGACTATTAAAGAAGTAAAAATTAGATTAACACTAAGTCAAGATGAACGCAAAGAGCTAATTAACTTGCTTAGTGAATTTGTAGATGTATTTGCTTGGTCATACCAAGATATGCCAGTAATTGACAGGGATATAGCTCAGCATACGATACCACTCATTCCAGGTATGAAGCCTGTCAAACAAAAGTTGCGCCGTATGAAACCGGATGTGTCTCTCAAAATCAAAGAAGAAATCAGACAGCAGTTGGCCGCAGGTTTAATCAAAGTATCCAAGTATTCAGAATGGATAGCAAATGTGGTTCCGGATCCAAAGAAGGATGGAAGGGTCAGAATGTGTGTTGATTACAGGGACCTCAATAAAGCAAGCCCGAAAGATGGGTTCCCTCTACCTCACATTGACATTCTAGTCTATAACACAACAAACCATGCACTCCTATCGTTCATGGACGGCACGCCGAATATAGTCAAGTATTGATGGCTGAAGAAGATATGGAGAAAACCACATTCATCACACAATGGGGTACATATTGTTATACGGTAATGCCATTCGGGTTGAAAAATGCGGGTGCCACCTACCAAAGAGCAGCTACAGCATTGTTACATGATATGATGCACAAAGAGGTGGAGGTCTATGTCGATGATATGATCGTTAAGTCTAAAGATCGCCCAGGCCACATCATTGCACTTCGCAAGTTCTTTGAAAGACTCCGCAAGTACAACATGAGATTAAATCTAGCAAAGTGTGCATTCGGAGTCACGTCAGGCAAATTACTTGGATATATGATCAGTTCTCGAGGGATTGAAATAGATCCCATAAAAGTCAAAGCGATCGGGCCATGCCACCGCCCAAGAATGAGAAAGAAATTCGAGGTTTCATTGGAAGGTTGCAATATATAAGTAGGTTCATATCGAAACTCACGGCGACATGTGAACCTATATTCAAGAAGCTTAAGAAAAATGTCCAGTTACATGGGACGACGATTGCCAAAAAGCTTTTAAAAAAATCAAAGAGTACCTGGCAAACCCACCCGTGCTAGCTCCAGCAATACCTGACTTTCCTCTTTGACTCTACCTTACGGTCACAAGAGAAACGATGGGGGAAATGCTAGCACAAGAGATTGAAAGCAAGGAGAATGCAATTTACTACTTGAGTAAGAAGCTTCAAGGATACGAGACACGATACACACCACTTGAAAAGTTGTGTCTCACACTTGTGTGGGCCGCACAGAAACTAAGACATTACATGCTCACTCATACAGTGCATGTCGTGTCCAAGATGGATCATCTCAAATATTTGTTCGAAATAGCAACACTCAATGGCAGATTATCAAGGTGGATAGTCAATCTTGCTCGGTTTGACTTAAAATTCGTACCACAAAAAGCCATCAAAGGTTCGGCGGTTTCTGACTTCTTAGCAGACTTTCTGCTAAAAGAAGTTGAGAAAGAAGAAGATGAGTACGATTTCCCTGACGAAGATTTACTCATGACCGAAGATGATAGCTGGACGCTCTATTTCGATGGAGCTTCAAACCAAAAAGGTTGTGGTGTAGGAGTCTTGCTTGTATCACCCAATGAAGAGCATATCCCAATTTCCATGAAACTCGACTTTGATGTCACCAACAATGCCGCAGAATATGAAGCATGTATTTTGGGGTTAGAAACAGCTGTCGCCTTGGGAATTAAGAAGCTCATAATCTACGGTGATTCTTCACTAATCATTAACCAAATCTCCAAGAGATGGAAGGTGAGAAGTGAAAGTCTCGCTATGTATCAAGCTCATCTGGAAACTCTCACGGAGCAACTAGATGAAGTGGAATATATGTACTTGCCTAGAGAATAAAACCAGTTCGCTGACGCACTAGCTAAATTAGCATCAATGGTGCGAATTCCAACGGACGCAATCAGAATGCCATTGACCATAGAAAGAAGATATGAACCGGCTTATGTTCACGCACTCGACGATGAACAGGAATCACAAGAAGAAGATGAAGAGCCATGGTATACAGATATCCTTAATATTGTTACAAGAGGAGAGTACCCT